GGTCAGTAGCATCGTGTTTCTGCTTTGCAAGACCCAATCAGAGAACCGAGCGTGAGCGGCTGTGTCATTCTTTCTAAAGTCCTCCGTTTCGGCCCGTCTTCATTAAAACGCACTCCGGAGTTTTGAAACGCAAAACAGGGTCGGCAGCGTTTCCAAACTTCTCAGTTTTAGGTCTTCGTTTTCGCTGTTGTAGTCTGGACGGGAGGTGCAAACGTAGCAAAAGGTCTCCATTTTAATTTGAAAACGCAGCAGTGTGGATGGGGCCTGTGTCCTCCTGTTCAGTATTATCCAGTTCTGAGTAAACTTCCCTCTCCTCTATGTTTGCTTATTCTGAATGCAAATTTCTTCCCTGCAACACCGGCAAGTGTGGTAGAACGGACCACAGTGAAGTTTGTTTGAAGTTGGATATTAGTTTTACATTGAACAGTCGACAGACGTCTGTCAGAGGTGTCAGAGGTAGTGTTGTAGTACTCGAGACCGGTCTTAAGACCACTTTTTGATGATCTTGGTCTCGTCTCGGACTCGACCGCATTTGTACTCAGTCTTGTCTCGGTCATTGAGGACTCTGGATTTTATTTCAAGACCATAAATTTGGGAATAAATTGCTTTTGCATTGTCTGATTTATTTGTTAACGTCCTAACTTTGACTGGATGGAAAACATATTGCTTTGAATGCAACCAATAACCCTACTTAAACATGTGTTGTTCCTGTTAACGACCCCTCACCCCTCTCCGCGATGGTAAACATGGAAAGTGTTGAGTAAAGATGCTTACGTTGATTTCAGCTCTTAGTGTTTGTATGTGGGCGTTTTGATGGGAATGTGGATCTTTCAGATCAATTTGAGAAGTACCTATTTTCATGTTTCACATTTTACCGTGCGTCATGTAATGTGGAGAAATGGTCTTGGTCTCGACTTGGTCTCAGCCCCTAAAAGCCTTGGTCTTGTCTCGGTCTCGATAAACTCTGGTCTCGGTTTGGGCGGTCTTGACTACAACACTAGTCAGAGGTGTTTTTCACTGATGAAGAATCCCAGAAGGAGGCCATAGGCAGATGGCCCAAAACCAAAGTCATGGTATGGAGAGAGGGACAGTGGACTTATAGTCTCTTTGGTGAACTGTCAAGTGTTTCAAGAATTATCCATTTCAGAGAGTTTACCCCCTTAAAATTATATGAACAGGACAAAAGATGTTTGACCAGCTAAGTAATTCATTAAAATGATCTAGATCAAATGTTATGTGAAGAACAAAGTCTTCTTTTATACCCCATTTTTCTTTGAAGAAGAATGGATGTAGTATGTGGAATGGATATTGACAATTTTTGTACCCAAGAAATGAGTTGCAAACAAGCTGACATTTTGGAGATTTTGGAGAAGTTTTCCGGAGTAAGCGCTGGTGTACAGTGCATAGGTCATGCTTTCGTTCTTTCATATTTCCTTCTTTCTTTTTTCTTCTATCTTTGCTCCTTGTCTACGTCTCCCTGGAAACAAAAAGAAAACACAACATACATCTCCATCCCCTTGTTTCTATGGCAACACAGCCGTGAGGAGAGAAGATTAGAGGAGCTTTAGCCTCCTCCAACCCTGCTCCACGATGAAAAGCAGAACAGAAAGAGACAAAATGAGAAAAAAGAGAGGACTGGGAGCAGGAAAAACGAGTCGAGTAGAAAGAAAGGAACAATTAAGGAAAGGCCGAGTTGTATAGGACGAGAGAGAGAGAGAGAGAGGAAGGTAGAGGGAGGCCGGCAATAACTGCATGCTCTTGTGCAGGATGGAGTATCTATGGTAACCTCGGCTGGTTATCAGAAAATTGAAGCCCCTTCTGTTTGTCTCCATTCTGCTCTGCCTATTCAAAAACTCAATTTATCTCCTCCTTCAGCACACAATTTCATATTCTGCTCTTTATTTTGCAGTTCATCTGGTTGGTGTGGCGTTTGCCACCAACTCAAGCAAAAACTCGATCAGAAACTCTATTTGGCAGCGTACACGCAAACAGAAAGATGGACAGACAGAGACAGAGGCTGACGTTTACTCTACCAAGGAAATGAGACATCTTGCCCAGAATCAATATTTGCCATGAACGTCGTCAGTAATGAAAATCAGGGTGTGTGTGTGTGTGTGTGTGTGGAGATGGAAGAGCCAGCTTGCTCTATCAGCTGTGGAGGGAGGTGTAAATAAAAGAATAGCGTGTTTGTTCTTCAGCGGGGGGGGGCAACAGAGGGAGAGCTGCCTGTGGGCTCTATCAAGAGTGAGATGGATGCAAATAAAGAGAACCACCTGTCTGCTCGACTCCACTGCAGAGGGACGCCAAGGCAAAAGCAGGCGTTCGCTGCTGCTGCTTCCATGTAACTACTCAGATGTGTTTTTGTTGAGCGGAGCCGTGACTCTGTGTGTGTGAGTGTGTGTGTGTGTGTGTGTGTGTGTGTGTGTGTGTGTGTGTGAGTGCTAGAGGAGGCCAGAGACAGGCTGTTTATCTGTCTGGAAACGGCAGAAACAGAAGATGAAGGGGGAAGTGGAGTGATACCAGAGCAGCTTGTGGAGGCCTGTTTCACTGAGCCACTGACTAGTTTGACGGTCCTAGTTCATTCATATTATAATGATAGGAATTATTTGGATGTCTACCTGTGATGTGATGGATACTATATAATATTTACATTTTATCATCTATATGAGCTATATATTTACTAAAGAATGACACATTTTGTTCACATTCTTCGTAGATATAAATCATTGTAAAAATGAGTAATGTCAGTAATTATTTTCTTCATTAAACAGTATTATTACTATTTCCCTTATTGAATTCTTAAGGGAATACATTGTAAAAATGAGGAGAAATCTTTTTCCTTAATGTCTACCTAAGATAAACCAACATAAATCTGATTTGAAATCATACAATGAAGACAGCCCTTACTTTAGATCTTGCCTCATAATCATCACATTCAGACCTTTTCTTTAGTATCAGAAGTGCCCGTGGTGGCTGCATGCAAAATGGACAAGAAAGTTACAACAATGGTGCCGTTACTCTTTCAGAATAATGAATGAACCTATGCTAGGTTTCGGCCTAGTCTTGTTTGTCAAAAAAAACTCAACAATAGGTTACCATTTTCTCTCAAAACAATACTGACCTGCCCATAAGTACAACAAAGAGATCCCCCTCCTAAAGGGATTTGAATGTAAGTGATGGGGAGCGGTTTCAACCTTCTTTGTTAGGCTAATGAAGTAGAGATCTGCAAAAGTTAGTCTTTGTAGTGCTTCCTTACTAAAGCCTAGTTCACACTACAGGATTTTAAGCCCGATTTGCCGCTGGGTGAGCTCGGCCCCAGGTCGTTATGTGTGAACTACTCAACTACTACGCGTCCAAACGGCTCCCCGACACATTGCCAACACCAGTTAGATATCTAGCATGCCAAATATCTGTGTCTTATGCATGTGCGTATAGCCCGTGCATACGCATGCACACGCCATCTGCTGAGCCCCGACTTGCGCGAGCATGAACAAAGTTTCAAAGCCTCAGGACGTAGATGAGGATTGCCTGTGCCAATTCATTTTGAAAGAGCAATGACCAAAGGGGAAACTCCAACACTCAACTGACCAAAGCTGTAACTTCATCAGTTACTCACTCAGTAAGACTTTTGTTTATGGAGGTTCCTCTTTGAGAGTCGTCAGCAGTTTCACTCTGAATCAGTCACTTCAGCACATATATCAGCCCAACAACACTTTCTTCACTTCTCTCTTCATATCACCCAGTACACTTTTTATATTAATTTAGTCTTCTTCTTTTTCTTTTTTTTTACTTTCCTGATATAAAGCTGATGTGTCCCATTATCTGTTTGCAGGCCAAAACACAATGGTTGAAATATTTTATTTCGTAGTGTGCTAAAAATGAGTAATCTTGGATATTCATTGATAGGATATTGACTTGTTTACATTTCAGTACCATAAGTACAAATACTGTATACAACAAACACACTTACAAAGATTTTCTAAGATACTTTTAACAAGCTAGCTCCTAGAATTGTGACTACATTAGTGTGGTCTGTCAGAACTTGACAGCCGCATCCAGATGAAACTTTCTACATTCACTCAGCCCCTGAGAGTTTTGAAAATGAAAATGGCCCTTGAAAAATGAAAAGGAAAAGGGAAAATAAATGCTCATAAATGTCAGAAAGCATTGCTGCCTAATTAGGGTGCAGCAAAAGCCAGTGCAGATGACGTGTGCAGGGCTAATTTGAGTGGATATACAGTTAATCTCCCATCAACAATAATTGGTACTAAGTCATGCAGTGACGCTAATGTCTGGGAAATCAACTGGTGACTCATTTACTGCCATTTCTGTAGTACTGACAGACACATGTCTTATTATAGGTGCACTGTGGCTTTAAACATCTCTCTTCTGGGGGCTAGAAAGCTCGGTTTCCTTGTGGTTTTCACTGGACCATGTTCATTTTATATGTTTAGATTTTTCTTCTTTTCTCCTCTATTCCTGAGTTCGGAAACTTGTGGTAATTTGTCAGCGCTTTTGTAATCATTTTGAGACAAGCAAACAGTTGTGGGCCTGTTATTCAGTTGCATCTGCTCCCAGCTGTCACAGTGGTGAGACTGGGATCAGAGCTCTGCATCACACCATACTGGGCTTGCTGTCTGTGTGTGTTGACTCAAAGCTACATGAACAATGTCTTTCTAGGTGATGTGTGTGTATTTGTGTGATTAATGGCTTTTGCTAAATTGATTTTCCACTTTGTTTCAGCATTCAGTAACTATTCACTTGGAACTACATCAAATGTCACCACCGCTGATAAAGACTACTCTGTGTACTGTGTAACAGCGTTTGCCATTTTGTTTGGCCTTGTGTGTACCCAGGGCACGATATGTTTCTTTTTGTCTTTCCAGCTGACTGCCAGTAAAAATAATGCCTTTCTCTCCTCTCTCTGTTTAAATATACAGTATGTACTGTAAATGGGCAGTGGCAGACTAATATCCTCTTTCTTTCTCTCTCCTTTCCAGCCCACGGGTTACATGGAGACGTCGTTGTCCTACAGCTCCATAGAAGACCTGCAGCTCCTCTCATGGGACAACGCTCCAAAGTACTGTGTCCAGCTCAGCTTCCCTGGTGGCACCGTCCTGCTGCAGGTAATGGACGTGCCTGCAGTCATCTTAAAAATAAAATAGTGGCTACATACTTAATTCGTTTTTATCAGATCATTTACCTGTTCATTGTACACAAAAAATCATTGTACACATCTGGTCAGCTGTTAATACAGGTAGGAGTAACGCAGGTTTGAAATAAATTTGTGACAATAAAACAAAACCGTAAGCTACCTTGATATTTTTGTAGGCTTGCCAGATTTCTATCTAACAGTTTCCATATATAAGTGCTTATTTTGGTTGCAAAAGCAATGGCTACAAACAATATGTTGACAAAGTGCGTTACTCCAATTTAATCAGGTCAATCAGTTGGGTCCAACAAGGGGAAGGGATGAAGTGATGCAGTTTGATTTCTCAACAGGGATGGGGAGGGAACATAAATATTTTTTTAGTCTTGCTTACTTATTCTTTTAATTAAACATATCCTGACATTAATCATTAGGGATGCACCGAATGTTCTGCCACCGAAATTAATCGGCCGAAAATAGCTAATAAGTCAAAAGACTGATAAAATTTTACCAAACAATTACTTGTTACATGTCGGCAGTGTGGAAGCATTTTAGTGTCTTAGAAAGACGCAAAAATCTCTACTGCTGAATTGTCTCCTGTCCTCCACCTGTGGTTGATTTCTAAGAAAAGGCAACAAATGGTCTGACGTGCTTTGAGTGTTTCTGTCACTTGTTTCTGAGAAGATGATTAAGCTAGCTATTTGGAGTGCACACGTATTAAAGCCTTTATGGTAAATCCACTGAAATGGACAAGAGCGAGCTGACAGGCAGGTTAAAGACTTTATCCTGTTAGTTTGTCTCTTTACAAAGACAAGTGTTGCAGTATGAGAGTGACAACGTCCGGTTTTCAAAATAAGGTGTCTATACAGGATAGAAATAAGATTAATTGGATTATATTCACAGAAAGTATAAAACATATTACATTTGTACATTAAAAGTAAATGTACACATGTAATTTACTTTACTGGACCCTCTCGGTCCTCGAACCCACCCACTACAGTCTCTCCAAACCCTGTGGGGAACACTGAAAAAAAAGCACATTTTGACTATTTAATTTATGCAACGCTAAAAAAAAGATCAGTATTCGGGAAAGTCTTTCATTATACTCGGTTTTGGCCAAGAATTTTCATTTCGGTGCATCCCTATTAATCATATGTTCCTTTATGGCAATATCTGCTCAACTATGTTGAACAATTTTTAAAAGGTTTTTGTAAAATGTGTTTACCATATACTCAAAAAAATTTATCTATTGTGGTATCCGAAAAATGGATTTATCATATACCCAGCTATTAAGATGTCTATCATGCTTAATTTGATCATCAGAAACGGCTGCCTCTGCATGTTTAGCCCAGAACCTGAACATATTATGCTGTGGTATTCAATTAGGGATATAATCTACAAAGGTACTTTGAACAGCTCTGCAAATTACTGGAGTTTCCCCTGGAGAAAAAACAAAAGGGGGAGGGTGCCGTTAGAGGGCCTTGAAATACGTGAAAAACCTGGAAAAAGCACATTCAACAGACAGTGGTTGCATCCCAAGTATCTTATTTGATGTTTCCTTTCTCCTCACTTGACCCTGAAGTCGTTGTTGTCTTATTTGTGCTCCGAAGAATGAGGAGGGATCTCTGAGGAGCAATTAATAAGCATACAGGAGAGCAGCCTTCACAGAAGTCTTTTAATGGCCGACACTCCCCCTTAGTAGATGTTAGTTATGAATTGGTTGCTGTGAGGCTCGTTATTCCTGCTTTGAAATGAGTTACATCATGTGTGCAGAAACTCCATCAAAGTCTGATCCGGCTGTCATCAGCTGCAGCTGTCATCAGAAACGGATGTTGCTTCGCATGGTCCTTCAGAGGAAAGGACATCTCTTTTCTCTAAAAATATATTTCCTCATTTCTTCTCTCCTCGCATGGGAACGTCCCAAGTCTCTTTTAATTGCATCCACGTTTCCCTCACTTGCGTGTTGTTGCATCCCACCAGCGATCCACGGAGAGAGGCAAGGAATGTGACTGAATGGAAATGATGTTAAATGATGTAAAAAGTGTCCTGTCCCTTGTGGTTGTTATGCCCAAGGTGCATCAGCGACAGTGCAAAGGACACAACCGCACGATCTGAAACAGCCAGTGTAATCTGGCAGCAATTCTGGCATTCAGGGGCCAGTCATTGTATCTACTATCATGGATCACAAAAACTTCTAAACCCACTTGTATAAACAGATTAAATATCTGGGGACAAAGTAGAGCACTGCCTGATAACTGAACACTATTTGGTCAATGGCCCATGATTATGATTAGACTGAGATTTGCAGTTCAGTGGGAACCTTGGTCCTGATTGCTCCCTGTTGGGATGTATTTTTACATAAGTAGATTTGTTGTGAATTTGGTTGATATTAATTTTCCATGAAGATATTACATGATGAAAAAAAGAGCTGGACTGGGCTGCCTAGTTTGGTGCCTGTAATATTTCACTTACACTGGACCCTGACATCATATACCTGCTTATCTCTGAGAGACTGCTGAGTTCCTGGGACAGAATCATCTCGACATAAACCAGAGCCACTCAGTGAGCATATTTGGTACCGTTGCCCATTAGCCCAATTACCCCTGATACACAATCCAATCCATTATGGGTGTTGGGGGTCAACAATGTATACCCACCTCCTCAGCTGTGTTTGCTTATGCCTGCTGCCAGCTGTTTGGACCACTGCCAGGTGGATTCAGTTTGTGCTTTGAAGGAAAAGCTCCACTGGTTTCTGTCCACAAGCCAAGATCAGCCAGGGTTCCTGCACAAGTCGTAGAAAACTGAAAAATCTGCCAACATACTGGTTAGGGCTATGGCAACCAAATCCTCATCCATACAAACTATGTAGCTGCATGGTGTATGACAAAGAAGGGATAAAAAAAACACTGACACATATGATTAAAACATTGACGGAATCATTTCTGCTCGAATTGGCTCATGTGATTGTATGCTTCCTGTGGGGAAACAGTAGATGAATATAGGCCAGATTATCGTCATGGATTTCTTTCTAAATTGCTGCATCACTTCAAAAAGTCACTTTTGGCAAGTAATAACCAATGCAATGTAGTTCCATTTTCATTATGAATCAACTCAGTCAGCTTCCTTACTAAGTTTGTTAATGGTGGTTTATTGACTTCTGTTACGTTTGACTATTTTGTGACAAAAGAGACCCTGTGCAGTTGGTCCTCAATGAATTACTTGTAAGTGCAGGTCTTTCACATCGTGAAATGGAGACCCGTTAGCAAGAGTTGCAGCATAATATAAAGCAGACTAGAATGACAAGTCTCAGTTTCAGTATATCTTCACACAGTTTTAATATCTTGATATCTTGCAAGAAAGTGATCCAAACAGAGAAACCAATCATTTATCTGCTCTCTCACTGAAAATAGTAGGCTACATACTGTACTGAACATACTGTTCCTTCTACTCTAGGTCTATAACATGCACTATTTTTTTCTCTAAATACACACCGCGCCTAGACTGGTCTGACCTTAAAGTCATTACTTTGTTTTGCTGGCGATCAGTTATTTTACTGTTAACAAACATTGGGACGGGTAGTAAAAAGTGCAAACACACAGGAAGCAGATGGGGAGAAGGGCAGCATGTTGTCTGGTCCTGGCTGTTTGTTTTGAAGACAAAGTTGATTTTTAAAGTCTCTCTGCAGTTGTTGTCATTTCAATTTACAACGTAGTGTATCTGGGGTCTCGCAGAAGTCAATTTTTAAGAACTCGTCAATTCATTTTTCTCCCCTTCTTGCCTCTGCTCCTCTGTGTAAACCACGTTTAGTATAAGTAGGTGTGTCTCTCAGTTCAAATATTGTATTAATATTTATGATTGAACGCCTGATTGGCTGATAATGATCGGTATAGCATACACCAGACTCCAATAAAAAGCACACTGTTACCGGTAACAAACAGTCTGTCAGAGATGATACACAGCATGCCACCAAAAGTGATCTGGTGTAAAAATATTTGATCATGTGTTTAAGCGTAAGAGTGGGAAACCTTAGCAACAACAGATGTCAGTCATTGGTAACCTGATAATATAATGAATGTTAGTTCAAAGTTACACATCTGGTTGCTGTGTTTAGAGAATAAGAGAACAGTTAAATCTCTCTGTACAGCTAATAGCTTAATGTTTTGGAGGTAATAAATGAAATGTGCATGTGGTCAGACTGGCTGCATCCAGGTATCTCTGTGTATTCACACACTGACCTAATATGGGTGTGTCAGGCTTGGCTGGGAATTAATTTAATATGATTAATACAGCATTAAAGGAGGCAGCTTAGTGGAGTAATTGTTCATTTTAAAGTTACACTTATTTCTGTGTTCCCCTAAGGCCCTGAAAGCCTGTTTTCTCATTGAGCTTTGTGTGAACCGATACAAACGCATTTTCTGCCACAGTTAGAACACTTTGGTAATACACATGTTTTTCTGTGTTTCTTGTTTTGTCTGTGCTCTTCTCACTGGGGGCAGGGCCAAGCTGCAAAACTGATACTCATTGGTCATATACGTACACCAATCAGAGTGTAGCAACGTTTGAATTTAAATTTGATGACCGGCTCTTTGCTTATAGTGCCAGGTCAAACAACACCCACACAGTCCAAAAATACTTTGCAACCAAGTTTTTAGGGCCACCTGGGTTTCAGCAGAACTACCTGTAAACACTGATACATTATCATCTTACATAGGCCTTGTGGTGAGTGAGTTAATAAAAATAAAAAAAAAGCTTGTTTACGCAGCCATTCGACAGGAAACAACATAACATTTATTTGGATGTGTTTTCTGTCCATCTGTTGAATGTTAGTCCAATATTCACTCTCCTTCAAGTTCTGTTTTGCTCCACCAGCTCCTGAAAAAAATACTTGGCTCTTTAGATGTTTATGCTCCACTGTGTTCATCTTCTGGTTTGTCAGTGTGCTCTTTGGTTCTGGGCAGGTAGTTACAGCAGGTTTATCAGTATTTTTTTTTTACTGAAAACAGCTGCCTACTGCTGCTGGGCACTGGATTGATGAGAGCAGTGAGAGTGAACCACACAGTAAAGTTGTGGGCTAATAAAACGGGTAAAAAACAATGAAACACTCAGTAGAGCTGAGGGGAACTGGAGAGGCGGGTGGTAATTTTCTATTTATTCACTACAAGCAAACACTGTCACTTTACACATAGTCAATTGACCTATTCTTAAGAAATAAATTATATTAATTAGTGCAACTTTAATTTTTAGAATGTATCCTGTTAAAGCCCAACCATCATTGTTTAATTTATTTTTCATTTGGCGAGCACTGCAAAGTGCTTTGCATGTAGTAACTGTATTCATGACTACTGTTAAACCTCCACAGCAGTCACTTACTGGGCCGTTTCAAGGTGAAATTACCACACTGAGTGTGAGTAACCAGACATAGTTAGAGAGAGGGGGCTGCAACTGTAAATGTCAAGACTATGACAATGTACAACAATTTTTTCAATTAATGTTGAATTACATTGTTACAAAAACTGAACGTTTATTTTTTTAAGCCTTTTTCAGGATGCAGTCTACTTAGCCAGTGTCATGAAGTCCTTGTCTGTGGGTTTGCTTTCTATTACCTGAGATCCGATTTAACAAATCGTTTGTGTTGCTCTGCACGGATGTGTGTGTGCTTCATTACAGGCTGCAAACAGCTACTTAAGGGACCAGTGGTTTCACTCCCTGCAGTGGAAGGTAAGGTTACAGTTTGTCTTGATTTGATTCATCTGCCCCATTAAAGCATCATACTAAGGCCTTGAACCCCCACCCCCCACCCCCCCCCACACACACACAGCATTTTTGTACTATATTTTAGCACATCCATTGAAGTTTAATCACGAAACCATCATGTGAATGCACCAAAAACTATTTTATGTTGTATTTAAAATTCTTCTCACAGTCTGACACGCAATTTTATGGCACTTTACAGACCTTTATGAGGATCAGAGCTCTAAACCTGTCAGTAGTACAGCCATGCGGTGCTCACCAAGCGAAATAATGTTATACAAGGAAGTATGCCTGAGGTACTTCAGAGTGGTGGAGCTCACAGTAACTTCCTATGGTTTAAAAAAAAAAAATCTTCTGTGTTTAATTTCCTCCACACTCAACACTTTCTCAAGCAATAATCAAAAGCTTTTGCGTAGAAAGACATGACACATATAAAAGGTAGGTAGACTTTACACAGCTCTGATTCTTCAAACATTTCCTGTTTGTTTGTTTTCCATTGCAACCCAACAAGCATTTGATTAATAGAATAGTGACATGAAACAAGCCCAAAACAAGAACACAAGGTGTTGAAGTGCTGGTTTCACAGACCAAATGTTATTGTATTGTATGTAAATATATTCCAAACGCTAGGTAGTCAATGTACTACCCCCTGTATTACAATGTTGTTCCTACAGAAAAAGATCTACAAGTACCGCAAGGTCCTGAACAACCCGAGCCGCTGGGATGTGGTGCTGAAGGAGATCAGAGCGCTGGTAGACATGGCTCTGACCTCACCGCTGCAAGACGAGTCCATCCACCAGGCCCCCCTGCACATCATCTCCACCCTGCTGGCTGAGGTAGCAACACAAATACACTCATGAGTATATTACTACTGAGGACCTGGTGTCTCCCGCTGTTTCTTCATTGTTCCTGGAGTCAGAGTCCTGGTCGGAGCTGCTGTAAATCACCTCGGTACTTTATTCCCTGTCGTCAAACTGGCTCCATCTGTCTTGGAGGCTACTGAGCCTGCTTGCACGGCCCCGGCTCTGGTGCCCATTCCGGCCTCAGTCAGCTAATAGTTAATTGTACAGCTAACTGAGCTAACTAGCGAACAGCAGTTTGCAGCAGTTATGGCCTGATATGTGATATGCTTTTGGAGTAAGAATTGAAGAATGGGAGAGAACCTTCAGTTCTTAAGTAACTTAAGTAAACATTCGAGGCAAGTGCCTCTTAATTAGTACGGAGCCCCAAAGTGTTCAAAATTAAGGAAAAATACATTATGAAATAAATAATCACATAAAGAAATGGTATAAAATATATTAATGAACAAATCATTCAAACACATCCTTATTATTCCAAAATGTTATTTTATTATTCTAACAGACTTCACAGAGTTTTATTTGCGTTCATTTCTATTTCTTTGTAGACAAACATTGTAGACATGGCGATGGTACCGTGGATGTGCCTTTGCTGTGGGTTCAATTCCCATTGCAACACATCCACTAATGTGTCCCGGAGCAAGACACTTAACCCCTAGTTGCTCCAGAGCGTGTGACATGTATAGCAATTGTAAGGCGCTTTGCATAAAAACTAAATGAAAAAATGGAAATGTAATGTAACAAAGGAGAAGTATTCCAGGGAAAGTGTTTGAATAGTCTTGATGTGGCACTACACAGTATCATCACACAGTGCCATGGAATATCAACCACTATTTATTGTATTGTAAACCTAACTCTTACCTAAACTTGACTCTGAACCCAAATCTTAAAGGGAAACTGTGGTATTTTTTTAACCTGGACCTTATTTGCTCAGACACAACTCCAGGTGAAAATAGAGTCCTGGTTGAAAATACCAAAGTTACCCTTTAATATAAACGTAATCCCTTATAGAACGTTTTTATGATGTGAGGACATTTGCTTACAGCATGACACACAGACACAATACATAATGCCTAATACATTTATTTCCTCCCTAAACTCCTCTGGGTTTTTTTTTCTCTTCTTCTTCCCGGCAGAACTCTAACCTCAGCACTCAGGATCATGAGAACATCATAGTGGTGAGTGTCACTATAAATTGAAATTTTATGTCAGGCTGAAGTTAATAATTAACGCAGTTGAGTCCGGCCTCATGTTGTTTTGGTCTTTAAACTGAAGGAAAATATAGATTTCCCCTGATGGATTTGTTCATGCTACACTTGTGGATTTGTGTGTTTTCGATTGTTGCTGTCGATGCCCTGATTGTGGTATCTGAGTGGAACAGAAGAGTTTGATGCTAAGAGAGGTTCTGGTGTTTGTGTAGCTCACCTGTGGGCTGTTTTTTACAAGGCTCCTGCACCTGACAGATCTATACTAGTGGCTCCCAGCCAGTGTAAATAAGAGATAGGATATGGAAGTGTTCATCTGTTCGTGTGTGTGTGTGTGTGTGTGTGTGTGTGTGTGTGTGTGTGTGGATGTTCAGGCCATTGCTCCACTTCTGGAAAACAACCACCCACCACCTGACCTGTGTGAGTTCTTCTGTAAGGTGAGATGATGTGCTACAATCATAACCTGACTAACACATAGTTTCAGTAGTGAAGAAAGTAGTTTCGAGCTTATAAAAGTGCTTCCTGTTGATAGTCATTCCTGTGTGTTGCAGCACTGCCGGGAGCGACCACGGTCGATGGTCGTGATTGAAGTGTTCACTCCTGTGGTCCAGAGAATTCTCAAACATAACATGGTGAGAACAGCTGCGTTCAAGAGCTGCACTGAGCATTCAGTAGTAGAAATGAGAATAAGTGATCAGTTCCAATTTAGTCCTGGCTCCACTCTGCTTGATTCCTGTTTTGATGCCTGGTTATTGCATGCAATTTTATCCATCCATCCATCATCAAACGCTTATCCTGTGTACAGGGTCGCGGGATGCAATTTTATGTTTTTGGTAATTTATGTGAACATGCTACATCCCTTCAGTGTAGAAGAAGAAGAAGAAATGCACCCAGTCCACCTGATGAACTACCCAAAACCTTAAAAACCAAAATAAAAACTGGATGTTGTGATATTTATTAGACAGAGCCAGATTAACAAAGTGGGGGCCCCGCAGGGGCCAAAAGTGAGCTGCGAGCTCTTAAGCAGCCCCTCACCCGCCATTTTGTCAACTTTTATAAAAGTTAAAAACATTTTTGTTTCTGTTTTACTGTTTGAGCTGTAATGTTTTTTCTTTTCTATAGACAATATAAAACATGTATGTATTCTGTTCTACCCAACAATGAATCATAGAGTGATTGATAAGGAAATTGATATATCAGATCAAAAATGAAATTAAAGTAAGTAATTTTTGTGGCTAAATTGTTAAGGCACCAACCATGAGGCGCCATATCACTTTGATTTCCTGTCATATATCTAATTCTAAATCTAAAATTACTCAAAACTAACTAAACCAAACAGAGATTAGAAAACATTCACTTTTCTGGATGTAACTTTCAAGTTCTGTCTTTTCTCTCTCTATTTTTTAACTTGTTTTTGTGTGTCTGTTTGGCAGGATTTTGGAAAGTGCCCTCGACTTCGTCTCTTCACTCAGGAGTACATCCTGGCTCTCAACGAGCTGAATGCTGGGATGGAGGTCGTGAAGAAGTTTGTCCACAGGTGAGAAACTGTTAAGCACAATAGCATAGAGATCTACATGTGACAATAGATGCTACTAAGAGCAGCAATAAATTCTAGTAAGATCTAATAGCACGTATGGCATCAATGAGACAAATACCTAGGGAAAGAAGTAAGAGTTAACAAAATAGTGCAATCAATACAAGATAACTGTAAGGGGAAAGAAGAAGAAGAGCACAGGAAGTGCATGTTAGATGTTAGGGGTAAGAGGTCTTAATCTTATGTTATACTTTACAGCATTTTCCCACACCAGCCTAAGACATTTGCACAGTACTATACTTGATGGGTTTCATACCCAAACTATTCATCATGTGCTGCGACAAATGCTGAACCTTCAGTAGATAGTTCTGACCATGGTATCTAACCTGCACCTATGTGTTGCAGCATGCACGGGCCAACAGGGCAGTGCCCTCACCCACGTGTCCTGCCAAACCTGGTTGCAGTGTGTCTCGCTGCGATTTATTCCTGTTATGAGGAGTTCATCAACAGGTCAGTCATACACATACACACACACACACACACACACACACACACACAGTAGCTTCTCTTCTTTTCCCCGAACATGATGTGCCTCACCACCTTCACATTTGATCTTGTCAGTTTTTCGCCTCTCCCTCAGCTTTATCTACTTACCTTTCTGCTCATGTCCGGACATCTTGTTTATATGACCGCTGCAGTTTGAGCAGCTCAGATCTGTCGGGCCTGAAGGTCAGCAGCATGGAAGGCTAGACAAGCGACAGCTCCCCTGGGGTTTCATGCTGCCACACTACTTGCATACAAAACGCTACCTGCGAGCGCTCTCCATCATATAATGTATGCACATTCCTGACAATATACTCAAAAGTGAAGTGAAATGTTATGTTGTCTTTACACTAGAGATAGCTCCCTCCATTGTAGTTTATTTATTGACAGTGTTTAAGTGCTCATCTAACACCATGTTTTAGTAATGTATTGTAATTTACATACATTATATCAGTAATGTGAAACTATCTATTATAGGAAATTTAATTATGTGGACAATTTATCAGAAATGAGTTACAATGATAACTTTGAGCCATATTCCCTTATATGTACAATGTGATCCTGTATATTCTTTGTAACAACTCTCTTTATAAGAGATATATATATATATATATATATATATATATATAAAACTCAGATCAAAAATGAATCTAAATAATCTAAAACTAATTAATCTAACAGCACAACCCTGCAATAAATCTAACCTTTATGAAGGTTTCAGTGTTCATTGTTTCCCATTTTAGAGATGTGGTGATTCAATGTTGTGGTCATTTTGGAGGCGGTGGTTTGTGCTCCTGTTGAATTAATAAATGTTAATGAAGGTAGAATATATTGCATTGTATTAGACTGCAATAGTTTACTTGATAATAAACTGGCAAGTGAGTGTAAGTAAACGTTCCTGAATTGCAAATTAGTCAGAGCGAAAAGTGCACAAGTAATTGGGTCTGTGGTTACTAATTTTGTTTCCCACAACAACATTGTAGATTCTAATCCAATACACATCTTTTTGTCAAATTCAGTGAATATCTCCTCACGGTCCGCTAGCTGCCCAGAACGGACAGTGTGCGCACTGAATAAATCCAGTGTTTGTACTCAGACCTGTCTCAGTAAATGGGAAACAAACAAAGTGGCCCAGACCGAGCAACACAGCACTATTCCAGCCATGATGTGTGTGTCAGGTAACGTTAAATGACTTGCCCACAGACATTGAGCTTACTTTCTAGTTCACCAAGACATGCTGTTGTTGGGATTTTAGCTGTAGCAGCAGGAAAGTGTGAGTATCGCTGTCTGGAGCTGCTGTGCTGCTCTGGGACTGTCTCGTCCTCTCTGCATGTTAGCGTCACAGCAGCTGTCGCGACAGTATGATAACCCACATCTAAGCTAATGTTAGTTACATTAGTTGCTGTGTCGTTGTTCGCTCTTTATCATGGTATTTGTCATGATGTTGGATTTCTCCAGAATCATGTACCCCACCTTTATGAGATGTTTGCTGGGATTTTTGTCAAAGGTGTCAAAGGTCGTGTCATTTATGTCATGTCATTATGTCATGTCCTGAACAAGTATTTAAATATATAAAGATATATCTGGTGTGAGAAAGAAGCTTTTGTTGCAGCAGCCATTGTTTTCTAAGGTTTGACCATTCCACATGAAACCTGTTCAGTCAGCCGTTGTGGTAGAAGGGTCATTCTTTTGTTTGCCTCTGTCTATTTTCTTTCATTGATTACACATAAAGTACATGATTGGTAATTTCCCGCATCTTGTACGAATCATATGAAGGAAACAGTATAAACAGTAATTTGCAGATGTTACTGGAAGAACAGATTAGACCCGTCTAAACTAATTTGCAATGTCCCAGTAATAATGAAAAAAAGAAACACTATCTCCACAGTGCAATGCAAATATACCCATGATTAAATAAAATACAAACAATAAATAGAACTTCATTGAATACATAACTCAGCTATGTTTATTAAGAAGGAGACTGTTCAGGCGAGGCCATGTGTTGGTGTTTGTTTGAGGCAGTTGGCTTGTCTCATTATTCTTTAGAGCTCAGATGGGTTTAATAGTGACTATACACAGCATTACAGCTGCCGAAACGGATCCGTAACCTTCTACATATCCATTTTGCCGCTTTGCAAGATATAATCTTTACATTCGGTCTGGGTATAGTTATTAAATGTAGTACGTTGTTTATGGGGTAAATGGCCTCCATCAATCATCAAATATAGAAATAAATATTTTCAATGGAATGAAAAGCAGCTGCCCGCCATTGTATGTACCAACATTGAATCGATCCTTGTGAACCAGCGTAATTGTTGTATTAACTGTTTGTACAACATCTAGGATTTCATTTTTTTAATAGAATTTTATGTCATGAAACCAAATGATTTCAGAAAAATAGTTTAACATTTCCAAAAGGAAAATCACAGCAGGTATGCTTTTGACCTCATTCCAGTGATTTACATTAAAATGGGCTTGTTTCTTTCTTGTGTGTTCCATAGAGGATTTTTATTGTATGGCATGATGTATGGCATAGGCTTTCCTTACTAATTAGCATCCTCTCCTTGGTTTCTTTTGGCCCAGAGAGGAACCTTCATAGCTAATTTTTTCCAAAACTCCAGTACACAAAGGAGCCATCACTCTGGTGCCCATTTCTCCTGGCTCTTACAACACCCTAACTTTTTTCCTTTCCCTTCTGTCATTACACTTTATTTATAGCCCTCTTGCTTATACGTACTTTCATTGACAGTACTGCTGTACCTGGCACTTAATGTCCCTGCATTGAGTATAGGTTTCATATGTGGTCCAATCACCTTTCCCCCTATTTCCCCCTCTCCGTCCCTGCAGTCGGGACAACTCCCCCAGCCTGAAGGAGATCAGAAACGGCTGCCAGCAGCAGAACGACCGTAAACCTCCGATGCCACTCCGCCTGCTGCGTCCTGAGCCTCCTACACCGCCTCCTGCTACCATCCTCCCCCTGTCCACTAACCCCAGTCCCCCTCAGCCACCTCCCCCCGCCGCCTCAAATCCCACCACATCCATTCCCGTCTCCTCCTCAACGCCCTCCCTGCCCCTCTCCCCTCCTCCCTCTGTTGTCAACTCCAGCGAGATCCTGGTGGAGCTGGAGCGAAACAACAACTCGGCCAACGCCAGGCGGAAGGGCGGACCGTCGGGGGGTGACAGCGAACCCAACCTCATCGACTGTCTGCTGGTCAGCCCGGCCGTCAACACTCTGTCCATCCAGCTGCCAGCGCAGGCCGACCGAGTGCTGGGCTGCTTCGCCCTCATCCTCAAGATGCTGTGAGTCTACACATAAAGCTGTCGCTGCTACTAAGTATTATTGGAACAGTCCAACATTTTGAATGCACTTGTTTTCAGAGTCACATGAGAATATCCGTATAAGTTTTAGCTCTATGTTGTAAACAGAGGTGAATAAGTGGGATATTGGAATTTTTTCAATACTTTTGTGATTAATGCACTTTAAGGCACAAAAAACACTTGACTTGACTGATCTTGACATAAGCTTGCCGTCCTTTTGCCAGCTCACCTGTCTGAGGAGGGTTTGACACACTGGAAGATTTTCACCTTTATGTCTTTTGCTCATCATAAAGAAGTAACAGAGAAGTAATTTCTGCATACTGAGTTTAGTTTTGTCTCACCTAACCTTAGCCAGTTCAACCAGTGCCCTATATTAAGATTAACAGTGGGAACTAAAAATATCAAGTCAGTTTACATGTGAGGCACACAGTCTAACCTAACTGACATGTGAACAGATATCAGACTGAAAAGTCATTGAAATCTAGTGCTGCTTGTTATAGAAAAGGTGGGGGGTGTTCATGCTGAAGCAACTTACATAAACTTCAGGCCGATGTCATATCAAAGAAATGACATGTCAACAACCCTGGGAGCGTCCTAGTTTGTAAAGGTGACATTACGTGAGCGTGTGTATTCCTGAAGAACTGATGAACAGTGTAAATGGGTTAAACAGCACTGAATGAATGAACGTAAGAGCCTCGGTACTGATTACACAGTGTGAAACTGGAACAGCAGTTACGTGTGTGTCTCCTTCTGTCGGGGTGTAGGTGCGGTAACCAAAAGGATGGCCTAAAAAGTGATAGCGTCTGTGTGTTTGTAGTATTTGTAACAAAGCCAATGTTACTTAACTCACAATAATGTGAAGCTGCTCTGGTTTCTGGTAAATTAACGGCGCAGGTCTGCGTCATCTCATCTCATGTTACAACTACTAATCTGTCCGTATCCAGGCTACACCCTCTTCTTTACATTGTTATGCTGAGTCTCTTCATCTCTGTTGTCTTTCTTTTTCGCTTTACGACTGTCTGTCTCTGTCAGGTCGGACTATGATGACTGGAGACCTGCTCTGGCCAGCCTGCTGCAGCCCATCCCCTTCCCTAAAGAGTGAGTGTTCACACATACACACCTCAGCTCATATTTATACCGGAGGTAGCAAATGCATTTTATTCATTTATCTAGGAATCCATCATAGAAGCTACTTAAAATGACCTCCATTTGATTTACATTTGTACATTTACATTCAGATGAGAAGACCGATTTAAAAATATTTATACACCCATCTACAATTATCTTGTGCTTGCGGTAAATTAGCTTGCAGTAGCTGTATGACCAACAGCAAGGTATCTGCAGACATGTTTTACCATCTCAGGCAACATTCTGCTGCCTCCTTATCATCTTAGTGGAGGCTGTTGGGGCCGGAGATGACATCAGACATTACTCAGTGCTAAAAACAACACTTTAAACTATGCATGTTTTAAAAAAAGTCATTTGCAGTAAGCAAGAGGACAACTATTCACAATCTATACTTAAATAAAAGTAGCAATGCAGTTTGATAATACTCTATAACAAGTAGAAGTTGAGGTTCAAAAGCTATATCGGCAAGATTTACTTAAAAGTACTCATTATGCTACAGAGGTATATTATTATATATTATGGTATTGGAATATTATTACTAATGCATAAACATTTGATTACTGTTTTTAATGTTGCTGGTGGAGCCAGTGGAGTAAAAGTTTAAAGTAGTAAAAAACATAACGTAACTGTTTAATCCTAATATGCTCTGAAAAAGACTCAAAATAGTGCATCAGTCAAAGATTACTGAAGCATAATAAAGCTGTTTACACATACTGTATATACTGTGTAGTATTAATCATGTTGTAGAAGCTCATCATATGTTTATAAAATATTTCTATATTGGATTTAATGTATTGTAGCATAAAAGTAAATGTACATGTACCTCAAAAAGCACAGTGAATGAAGGTACTTCATTGTGTCAACCTGACTTCTGAAACTAAACCTACACGTTCGGTCAGGAATGCCAGTGTCGTGGCCTCAGCTGGTTTTTAATTTTCCTGTGAACATGCAGTAGTTTGATGGAGTTACGCAATGTCAGCGCAGCCTGTGTGGTGAAGGATTTCTTTCTTTCGGTAGAGAGAAATGTGACTCTGCTCCTAAAAGAAGTTCTAATACTACTCACACGACTGTAAGAGTAATACTAGCAGCAGTTTGTTTTGGTGTCTCATAACAGTCTAAATGTTGTTTCAGAGAAATGTGATAAAGCACTTTTTTTTCCAGTCCAAAAACACCAGTGCAGCGGCAGCCATAACCATAATCATAAACTGCTACCATCAACGTTGGCCCAGTGCTACATGCCACCCCTGGCACCTCAGTCCCTTCGATCTCCCTCCCTCCTCATTTTCTTCCAGTCCCTCATATTGCTGTCTTTGGGGATGTAGACATGTTTCTAGGAGGTTCCTGTTGGGGCCCAGCTGCTGACGTGGATGAGGTACCTTACCAAGCCTCTTGGGAGTCGTGAACCGAAGGGGTGGCGTTCTTCTCCCCCGAGAGCCCGCTGTAATGGGCTATAAGCAGCCCAGAGCTGTATCTGTAATTGGCTGGCTGATCCGGAGCTTCATTAGCGTTGAATTGTTGTTTCTCCAACACTGGGACACACCTGTTACTCACCTGCGCCACTGGTGCCTGGCTGATGGCTTCAGGCGTCATTAGGAAAGGCAACAATACTCCCCAGCACCCTGTTGCTGAGCATATAATGAGGATTATGCGCACATATATTCTGAGACACACGCACACACACAGGCGCTGATATTCTCAGATAAGTTCATGCACACACATGCAGAAAACAACAACATGTTGCACCTCTAAATCCAAACAGTTTCATTAATACAGTATATCTAATTATATGTCATTGCTCTGTATTGAATCTGTATAAAAACTGAAGTTAAAAAACGACACGTTATGGTTTTACGGCAGCAGAGATTCCAGGAAGTTCGGCCCATAACCCCTGTGCAATGGCGAATTGTCTCTTTGCACTAAACAAACAAGATAGTGAGTTCATTTCAGGCTTCAGAGGTGCTGCGAGGGGGATTTTGTTACCGTTTGACAGAGCTAAGTTAGCTTTTTCCTGTTTCCAGTCCTCAATGCTAAGCTAATTTAACCAGCTGCTGGCTGTAGCTTCATATTTACCACATGAGAGTGGGACCGTTCTTCTAACTCTTAGCAAGAAATCGAATAAGAGTATTTTCCAAAATGTCAAACTAGTCCTTTATTAATAAACTGCTGAATTTATATTTAAAAAACATCATGAGGTCTGCCCTGGAGCTGAATGTGTACATTTCTCTTTCCTTGCTCCTGTAATAGCTTACGCAAAGCATAACCTTTGGGTCCAACTTCTATCTGTCATTACAAACACTTTGTGTACAGTTATTTAAAAATTCTAGTGGAGATCCTAAGTTTTGAATTAATGAACAACACATGTGCTTCTCTTTTCATTTGCCATCAGTTTAGAATGTAACTATCCATTTCCCTGATCTGATTTATATCCAGGATCACCACAGCTAACCTCTTACAACTGCTTCTGAGACCTAAATGTAAAGATTCCCCACAGGAACCATTAAAATGTCATCTAAAGTAACAAACAATCCCTAGAAGTTCACATGCTCGTGTCTTTTGCACACATGCTAAAAATGTCATAACAAGCCCTGCACTCCCTCTGAAGCTTATCTGAGCATGTTGACTGTATCCGCCCATGTAAAGTAACACTGTGCTATTGTGTCATGAGCTGAACGTCACTGTAATAGGTAGCACAAAGGGGAACTCCAGAAATGCTTGTATACACTGTAAACATCAAATCTGAGATATATTGCTTGAAAAGTATGCATTCGATGAATGTTTCCCAACAGAAACATGTGTTTTATCCTATTTCTCAGCTCCAAAGTGTTTTAGGGTATAATATCTCACATCTCTCTTTGTCTTCTTTCTCCCCAGGGCCCTCGCACATGCCAAATTCACAAAGTAAGTTACTGCGACGTCGTAATCTGTTCTTCACATATTTAGATTAGACTCCAGTTTGAAAACAACTTAACATTTGTGTCTCAATGTTTCTATGCCCAAATAGGGAACTGAAGTATGTTATTCAGAGGTTTGCGGAGGACCCAAGGCAGGAGGTGAGAGTTTCTTTTGTGCATGTTTACCACAGTTTCAACTCTAAATGCTCTACAGCTTAAAGTTCAGGTTAATACTAACCACAGCTGTCAAATACAAGCGGTGAAGTAAAAAGTATAAGGTAGTAAAAACTAAAATCAGTAACAAACTTTTGCTTAAGTTGGAGGCTTCCACACAGGTAATTAAAGTAGACAAAGTAATTAACTGTTTGCAGTGAATATTCTGCTACAAATCTGTCAAAGATTACTAAAGAAAACTTTTAAAGTTACATTTCTTCTTGAGATTGATCATCCAGACAGAAAAATCATCCGTGTGTGTGTTTTCCAGGTCCATTCCTGCCTACTCAGCGTGCGTTCTGGTAAAGATGGCTGGTTCCAGCTCTACAGTCCAGGAGGTGTTGCCTGTGATGACGATGGAGAGCTGTTTGCCAGTATGGTGAGTCTATTGACACACACACATGCACACAGTCTGTCTGAACTATTAATGAGGGCTAATGGATGTGCGGTTGTGGTTGACTTCCTCTCCTTTTCATCTCCACCAGGTTCATATCTTGATGGGCTCCTGCTATAAAACCAAGAAGTTCCTGCTCTCTCTGGCTGAAAACAAGCTGGGTCCCTGCATGCTCCTGGCCCTGCGTGGAAACCAGACCATGGTGGAGGTATGACCATGTTTGTGTTTCTGCTAATTCTTCTATCAATAAATATTCTCATTTATTCTTAATACTCTCTCATAGCATCTTGGTGCATTAACATGTGGTGGTTTATTTAAATAAATAATATTAAGTAGTAGCAGTTAGGCCTTTACAAACAATTATTTTCATAATTGATTCATCTACAAACTTATTTTCTCAGTTAATAAATTACTTGTTGGTCGAAAAAAGGTCAGAAAGTAGTGAACAGAATAGTGAATAGTGAATGTCCATCACAAATTACCAGAGCTACACTGTTTGTTTTGTGTAACTAAGACTCAAAATCTAAGATACACTGTTTATTATCATAGAAGGTACAGGAAAAAAACAAAAAATAGTATAGTTGCAGTATTAATTTTAACACAGCTGATCAAGCTGAGGATAAACTGACCGAATTGAAGGGGATTCAAGCAGTTTAGTATTGCAAGAGGAGACAGGTTTTCTTTTTCTAAATGGTCAAAACAAAGCAGCAGAGCCCACTTTCAAGCTCCCAAAAATGCTTGATCCTACATTTCCCATAATGCAACCAATATAATTTTTCATTAGATCCTCCCGACTATTTGTAGTTTTCAAACCCAAGCCAGGATAACCCTGGTGACAGTGATGATATTATGTTATCAAATTTGACAAAGGTCCTTCAGAGCTACAGAAGACACTCTGCAAATGTTTTTTCCATGCTGAGTAGAACTCCTAGTAACCAGTAAACTGATCATCAAATGTAAAATGCGCAGAGTACCACTTTACACTGAGTATGCGTTTACATACGTGTCCAGATCCTGTGTCTGATGCTGGAGTACAACATCATTGAGAACAAAGACACCCAGCTGCAGATCATCTCCACCCTGGAGAGCACCCAGGTGGGCCTACGCATGTACGAGCAGCTCTGTGACCGACAGAGAGAGCTCAAAGAACTGGTGAGTTACTGCTCCAACACACAAACACACACACACACACACACACACACTCCCCATACTTTATTAAGTACACTGAAGCCTGAAGATAACATGGTGCTGTACTCTTTGCAAAACAATGCAACAGTACAAGAACTGTTTTTTTTTTTTCTGATGTACAATCTGCACCTTGAATTGCAGCGACTACCAAGTCGTCCGTTTCTCATGACGTACAAATTATTGTGACCTACTTGTCAATCCAAAAGTCCAACACACTGCTAACAGCAACTGTTGAAGGCCCCGGAAGTTAAGAACCAAGCACGTACTGGAAAAGATGAGAACAAAGGGAAGACACAAGGTTCATATAATGTCTATTGTACGCGCCTAGTCACCAAAACAAATTCCTTCTAAGTGTAAAAACTACTTAGCAGTAAAGCTGTTTCTGATTCAGATTGAGGAGAATGATGCGTCATGTATGAACCGCTGGATCGTGTCTTATACAGGGACATGAACAGAGTTATCATACAAGGTAAAGAGGAGTTTGTTCAGACGGCTACAGCTCTGGTGTCGACTGATCGCAACGTTGGTAGTTCGATAGCGGAGGTCCTCCAGGAGATCCACGTGTTGTAGTGTCCTTGAGTAAGGCACTGAACCCCGAGCTGCTCCCACTTAATGTGTGAGAGCTGAAAATGTAAGTCGCTTTTGACAAAAGCGTCTGCAAAATGAATTTAACGCAGTGTTATCTTTGAGACAAGAAAGGAAGCCCCCTCTCTACAAGTGTCGATTTGGGTTTTCTTTTAAAAGCATCACCAGGAGCAGGTAGAGGTGTCAGGAGGCATCAGCTAATAAATACCAGGTGTACCCATTAATTTCTGTCACAGACCTTAACAAGGTCCAGCAATAATTTCAGTTCCTTTGAAGCTTTTAGACCACTTTTCAACGAAGGATGAAGTCAGTTTATGGCAAAAGAGGTAAAAAGTCCCTCTATTTTGTAACTGTGTTTTTGCACAGTGTTCATAGATAAATATCATCTTCAAGAGTTGCTTTGAGGGTCAAGTCCAGTTTAACAGGAAGTTTCATAATAGTTAGATTTCATTACATGATGTAAATGTTCATACACCGCACTGCTGGGTCATCTTGAGTGTTCGCTTAATCTGGAAAACGTTTTGTCTGTACTCAACACTAAAAGTGGGGGGCATCTCAAGTAATATACAACTGAACTTTCTGGATCTTCAAAAGATATATAATACATTATGAAATGTTCTTGCAGTCCCTTATTGTTCTGAACTTTACCTGTTTTTTAAGAGATCATTTTAGGATTTGCTCTCTAATTTTTCCAGTAGATGGATCCGTGTTGATGTTACTAAGGTTTTCTGTACACAGTTTGGTCATAATCTCACCTCTGATATTTTTTTGTGAATCCATTACATGCCATAAAGGAGGAGTTTAAAGGTGTGAGGTATGAATGAATATAGTATAACAGCCTGTCGTCATCATGTGACAGCATAAACCAGGCTTTGATAGACATAGTCTTGTTTCTCCACTCGTCACCTACAGTCATGGCCTGGTTTTAATGATCAGGTGCCCACTTAGCTTCATCTGCTGCTGTAGTCCATCAGATTCTACAAATGGCCTTCACATTACTCGGACACTTAGAGCCGGTCTGGTGGCTTATAGCAGCCGTGTCCTCCTCCTCCACTCTTGCATACCCAGAAGGGCCACAGCTAACTGGATCATTCTTCGATGTCGCACACTTCTCAGGAAACTGAGTGTGAAAATTCACGGAGCTGGACTGGTCCTGAAATCCTGGAAGAGTAAAGATCAGACCAGTAACAGTAAACTGGGCCTCTCTGCTCAGTCGGCATGCTTCACAAGCTGAGTCACAGTCGCTTGACTCTGTCTGCAGAGCTGAGCTGTTTATTTATATGTGGAGGTAGTCCAGTGAAGCAACCACTGAACTTGCGCTCTGTACATACTTAAGCATAAACAAAGATACACTTTACGCATAGCACGTGAAGAAATATAAATGGTGTCTTGTCGTTTATGTACACCGCTGTGTGCATAAATACGTACGGTTGTATTTATGTCATTTATGTCAGTTGAGAAAATCAAGAAATAACTTGACAGGAAACCATTTGGAAGTGTGCAAGGATTCAAGTTTTCCGTTATCCTTGTCCCCGATTAGAGGTTTCTCACTTAATATATAGATAAAACATACAATACGAGATATGTGTAACAGAGCATGGTGGTATTGTATTTGATAAAATGGTAACCAGAAGTTTGTTAGAAACCTGAAATGACCCATTTACTCAATATGACATAAATCCAGAATGGGTGCAGCTGCTCACACACACCATCTACTGTCTGAAAAGGTACCTGCTAGGCATTGAGCTCAGACGCCATCTTTTTTTTCTGTGTGTGTCTTCTCCTTAGCAAAGAAAAGGAGGCCCCACCCGGCTGACTCTTCCCTCAAAGTCCACGGTGAGATTACACTCATGCCTCGACTGCTGCACACAAAGATAGTTTCCGCAGTTTCCGTCCTGGCCAATGACAGCTATAAGACTCCTAACAATACTTGCTTTAGCTTTGTCGATATTGATTGTTTGTTCCTCAACATTCTTTAGGATGCTGACCTGGCCCGCCTGTTGAGTTCAGGTTCTTTTGGGAACTTGGAGAACCTGAGCCTGGCATTCACCAACGTCACTAGTGCCTGTGCTGAGCAGCTCATCAAGCTGCCTTCACTCAAACAGCTCAACCTTTGGTCCACACAGGTACACACACAGGATCACAGCACAAACACTACTCCAGACACACACACAGACTAGTAATCACTAATATAATAATCTGATATTTAATGTATGTCCTGTCTGCTTTTTTCTTCCTTTAGTTTGGGGATGCAGGGTTGAGGTTGTTATCGGAGCATCTGGCCTGTCTTCAGGTTTTGAACTTGTGTGAGACGCCCGTCACCGACGCTGGCCTGCTGGCTCTCAGTTGTAAGAAAGCACACACTAAATAAATCATGTATCGCAGTAGTGTACAGAAAGCACTTTTATTAAGTTATTTACAAGTTCAGAGGTACCATGTTGGTACCATTGATGGTATAAAAGTCAGTTGTTTGTAAGTTTGTGAACTAATTGTGGCTAATTGTGACCGTTTCAGCCATGAAGAGTCTGTGCAGTCTGAATATGAACAGCACCAAGCTCACAGCTGACACATATGAGGACCTCAAGGTAAGACTGCCAGACAACTCATACCAAGTGCAAATTGTCAATATGTTGCTCCTTCTCTGACGTATGTTTAAATAGTGTTTTCTAACATGTTAGCGTCATCAACTAAGCTGCTAATATGTAATATATAAAATTCCTTTTTTTCCTTATAATCATTTCCAAATGACATTGTTCTTTCCAGGAAACGTCTTTGCAATGGTCAGGAAATTATTTGGAAATTGCAGTCTTGTAAAATTTAGAGTTACTATGCAATATCACGGAAGATGCAGCATCTCAAAAGTGCTGTCTAGACAACTCTTAAATAAATTGGTGACTAGCTAGATAGCTAACATGATACAAATACATGCACATACATAGATAAGACAGGCGTTCAGTTGTGGACTTTTGATCGGACCTGGCTATCAAATTCCCCCTGCTTCCAGTCTTTGTGCTAAGTTCAAGTTTATTTATATAGCACATTTAAAACCAACACTAGTTGACCAAAGTGCTTTCCACAATAACAAATATACTTCAATATATATTGAAGACCAATGAATAAAGATAGGTCTTTAGCAAGGATTAGAAAGTGTCAGGAGTCAGGGGGCATTACTTATTTGAACAGGTAAAGTGTTCCAAAGATTAGGAGCAGCTACTGAGAAGGCTCAGTCACCTTTAGTTTTTAGCCTGGATCTGGGGACATCGAGGAGCATCTGATTGGATGACCTCAGTGCTTTGACCAGAGAGTGTACATGTAAAAGTTCTGATAAATAAGAAGGTGCCAACCCATTTAAAATTTTAAAGACGAGCAATAAAATCAATCCTAAAGCGGACAGGAAGCCAGTGGAGCGAGGCTAAAACAGGAGTAATGTGCTCACGCTTTTTAGTTCCTGTTAGAAGTCGAGCTGCTGCATTCTGGACTCACTGTAACCGATGGAGAGACGACTGATCCGCTCCAACATACAAAGAGTTATGGTAGTCGAGACGAGATGTTATAAATGCATGGATTACTCTATCAAAGTCTTTGCGTGGCAGGTAGGGCTTGATTTTGGCCAACAGTCTCAGCTGAAAGAAACTGGCTTTCACTACAGAACTAATCTGTTTTTCAAATTTAAAAGCTCTGTCGAAGATCACAGCTAGATTCTTGGTAAATGGACGACTATACGTTCCTAAAGTACCAAGAGCATCTACACAAGCACTTAAATCCCCAGGTCGACTGAACACAACAACCTCAGTCTTACTTTCATTCAGACAGAGAAAGTTCTGATTCAACCACATTTTAAGATCTCTCAGGCAGTTGAGCAAGGACTGAGTTGCAGCTAGGCTAAACACATTAGGACCTGCAAAGAGACAAAATTAATATAAATCTTGGTTTAGCTCTGACTCGGGGTGAGAGGGGAAATAAATGTATTTTCCAAATGTGAGTTTACTTTCAAGCTGACTGTAAGTGTATGTGTCTAGGTGATGATGCAGTGTCCCTTTGTCTTTGTCTTTCTCTGCAGGCCAAACTTCCCAACCTGAAAGACGTTGATGTTCGGTACACAGAGGCCTGGTGATCAACCATGCTCACACACCCCTCATACATAACCAGACACACACACAAACATATGCACACACTGCACACAGGCTCAGATACGTACCATGAAAATTGCGGTGATGTCCTCTCCATCGCCACCATCATTAGACCAGGAACTCTGACATCATCCCAGCATGAGGATCACCTGACCAGAACATCGCTGACACATTTACGTCAGAGGAGCAGCCTTCATCAGCTTCAGACGGCATCACTAACCCCTGTAGTGACGCCATCACCAGGAAAGAACTGTCTAGTCAGCTTCAGCATCACTTTTTTCTAAATGAGAAATCTTTATGGACCTCGTTGCTCCCCTTACTTCTGTCACGGATGTTCCGAGGACCTTGTTTTTACCGACTTGGGGGCATCTGAGGACATGCAAAGACCCGCTATGTTGTGACACAAGGGACCCTTTTCTCTCTCTGTCTTTATCCTGTGCCCTGTCTTTCATATATGGTCTCTCGGTTTTCATATTTAGTTTCAATCCAGCTCCCCGGCCGTTGCCCTCCCACCTCTGTGTGTCCGTGTCGTGAGGAAAACCTGAATCGACCCTCTCCCCTCAGAGCCTTCCTCTCTTTTTCTCTCATGCGATGAAGGCTGGATACAGCAGCTCACATTCCAGTTCTTCTCTGATCTGACCCACAGTGTAGCTCTCCAAAGGGACACGTTGAGCTGTTCATCACTCCGGTCCTCACTCTCGCGCTCTTTGGCTCGAGCTTTCAGGTTCAGATTCCAGTCTTTTCAAGTCTTTCATTGGGAAAATGAGGTGCTACCTCTGAGAAAAGAACAGTTGCAAGACTGTGCCTATTCCTCATACACGACACGTTCACACACACACACACACAAAAAAAAAAAAAAGGTTTTTATCAACTTGAATGAACATATTTTTCCAGACATCTGTGCTTTCATATACTGTGCGTTTCTATATAAAACATATATATGAAGAAAAGCCCAGTGATGACATTTCAGAAACATTGCGGGAGCTCTGCAGGAACATTAAACGACGATGGCAACATTTGTTCATTTTTCATTTGTTTTCAGTGTACATGCCCATTACTATTTAATAGGACAGTTGTGTAGCAGTAGCTGGGCGGTCTGGGACTGCCTAATATTTATAAGTTGTCTCTTTAAAGCCTCCTTTGCTCTCTCTCTCCTGGATTTGTCCCACAGTAATGAAGTACACAGGTCCTGTTGTCTTTTTTGCAACATATAACACAAGAAGCCAACCAAGAGGACGCCCAAACATGGATCTCTCTGTACCATGCCATGGTGTCAATGTAGACCTGTAAAGTGGATTGCAGTTAATCTAAAGTGGACCTGTAAACAACCAGCTGAGAGTTGTATATTTTCGTATCCTCTGTAATTTGAGACGGTTTTGAAAAGAAGAAAGGACTCTTGCCAAACATCTGTATCGGCTTTAGTTTTTGTTTTGTGCACTTGTTTCATCAGGCTAACATGAGCATTGTCTCATTACTGATTGGTTTATCAAGTGGAACCTGTCCTGTGGAGAGACACTGACACTGTTTGGATTCACGTATCTGACCGCCCCACCACCACCACCACCACCCTGCTGAGGTCAAAGTAAAGAGTGGCAGTGCCTCAGGTGGAGCTGTGGATGAGTTGCCTATTGTTATGTTTTTAATCTGTCACAGCACCTGTTTTGAATTGTTCTGCTGTATTTATATTATGCCATAATACATAGGTGACATTTTTAGGCTGTGTGGATGAATAATTCTCATCAGAAGATGGGACAAAATTAGTGCACATATTCTATCGTAATGAGCTATAAGGGACAATGATTGGAAAAAGGCACCTTTCGGCCATATTTGTCTGTCTACATTCCCTCAAAATGTTGCCTGTTTATTGTTGCAACATTTCATATGATGCGGTAACTGCCCTGACACACTGCAAGTCTCTCAGAATCTCTTGTCCCTCTCTGTCTAGATTTGTCTTGTTTCAGTGGCCCTAGAAAACACAAGACAAGTCAGATTTCCACCCTTTCTTCAGTCAGCCTCGCTCTGACTGCATCCATCCATTTTATTTATTCATGTCGACCTCCAGAACGCTCCAGATGTTTGTTGAATCAAGGCAGAAGCTGCAGCAGAGGACATGATGCCGTCCGCATAGAGATGCTTTATTTCCTATTTATTGGGTGCCATAACAGAATCCTGTTTGGCCTGTAGACTCGGTTTGTGTACGACCATCTTTGGGTCTAGCTTTTAGGACCTTGTGCTCTCTTTCGTATCCTGTATAATGTATATACAAGTGTATATAGTTGTCTCCTCCCTTCCTCTCTTTGAACCCCTTTTTTCCTTCATCTTTTCTCTATTTCTCTCGGCCTCCCTTCAGCGGCAGGCTGGTGTTGCCTTCATGTTTGTGTGGTTGTTTTTTTCACACAAAAGTGCACTGTAATCTAACAAAGTATGTTTTCATAATATCTTTTAAGTCTTTGATTTGATCACTTTAATCAAACATTTAGTGTACTACTCGTTTAGTTTTTATTTGCATGTACATGTTGCTGCGTCATCTGGTCTTTTTATTTTGTAATTTAGTTTTATAAATATGATAAAGGGTCTGATCACTATCTCACTGAGGTTAGGGACTGAAATGGAGAGATCCCTACTATTTTCTGATTGTCTGGTTGTTGACAGGATCTACCCATGAGCCTTGACAGGTCCTGTTGGTCGAAGCAGTTTGGGTTCGATTGATATTGATTTTCTGAAAAGCCAATACCAGTAATAGTACTTTAACATTTTAGTTTGACTATATTCATATCAAAAAGTGCAAATACTTCTTGTTTCCCCGAGTATGTTGTTGTAATCCTGCCAGACAAAAATATCAGAGGTGGACCTCACTGACCGGCCATTATCTTTTTTAATAAAGTTGTTGGTTCCATGCATCAGCAAACTGATAATTCAGTGCAACTGTAGTTTTGTTTTATCGTTGATGTTGTCTAAGTATGAAAGTTTTAAAGGAATAGGCTTACTCGCTTTTCTGATGGGAGTTAGATGAGAAGATTGATAATGTCATGTCCATCCATTTAATATGAAGCTACTGTCAGCATCTTGTTAGCTTATCTTTAGCATGAAGATTGGAAACAGGTGGAAACAGCTTGCCTGACTCTGTCCAAAGTCCTCGTACCAGCATCTCTAAAACTCACTGAAGACCATATTATATCTTGACGTGGAAAACGTCTCTCTGCTGGTTGGCAGGCAACCTCACGGTGATGACAAGACTCCAGGAAGTCTCTGCACCAAGGAGTAGTCCAGAACATAAATCCCAATGTGTCGTCTTCACGCTTTAGAGGTGCTGCTTTGATTTTGTTATTTTTGGACGGATCCAGGTTAGCTGTTTCCTCTGTAGCCCAATCCTTAATGTGCAGACATGAGAGTGGTATTGATTTTTCTATCTAACTCAGCGAATAAGCATATCACCAAAATGTCAAACTACTCCTTTAAAGAAGTGGGCAGACTCGGGGAAAATTCTGTCACTAAAACTCATCCCACAGTTTTTAGGCCATTATGAGCTGCCTCTAGTCCAAACTGTGAGCCTGGGGGCCAGCCTGTTGAGGTTATAATGGAAGGTTTTTGTATTACTGTAGAACATGTAATGGTTGAATAGAAATGCCTCTTCTGTTCTGTCATGTCTCCGTATCCTGTGGAGCTCACTGTGCTTTGCTTTCCATTGCCATCCTGATTCCTCCCTCTTGTCGATTATCTCCGATGTTTTTTACTCTACACAAACTGTAAAGAGTTTCTACCATGTCCAAGTTGTGCACAGCTGTGCTCAAGTCTTAACAGTTGTTATGGAAGGAACAGAGTCAGATGCAGCACAGCCTGACACGTCTGACAGACTGAAGAAAATCTACTCTATTTCCCATAGTTCCTTGTAGTAAAATCTTTTTTTGGCAGCTGGAAAATGGGTGCCCATCATATTTCTTTCTCTTTTTCAGTCTTTATGCTTTGATCTGCTTCTCCTGCTGGGTTATTATTATTATTATTATTGCTGCTGCTCTGTGGCTGTTGTAATAAAAATACAAAAGATCTTCAACAGGAAAAATAACAACTATGATGTGAAATAATTTCAATCAAAAATAAATTGTCTGTGAATATGTTTCAGCTGTGTGTGGCCTTTGTTTTTTTTATACATCTTTTTATAAGACAAGACTTCGTTTACAACTGATTATCCAAGGAAGGTTAAAATCAAGAGGCTTCTTCAGACAACTGAGAGGCGAAACATCTTCACGTATCTTCAACCAAGTCCAGTTGCCCTTGATTTTAACCTTCCTTGGATATCTATGTGTGTGATAGTATATCAATATGTCTAATCACAATCCCTAATTACAAAATAATATTTTATAGCTGCTCGATTCTGATGATGTCATCAGGGTTAGCTCAGAAAGCTTGTGTTACAAACTCGGAGTATGGAAATTGAAAGACATTGGGCATTGGGAGGGTCTAACAAAAGATGCCACAGTTTTATTATGGATAATGTAGGATCCAGTATTTTTGGAGCTTGATCTATGCTAGGGACTAGTCATATCTTGGGGCCTGCTGTGTTGATATTGACCATTCTTTTTGTCTCTTGTGACCACTGCAATCTAATGGAAGAACCAGTCCTGTGTCAGCTGTTCCAACTCCTCATTTAAGAGGTATTAATCTTATTCTGGGTGACATTTTCAAAGCCAAGACTTCAAGTTTTACATGGCTGCGCCATTCCATCAAGTAGAAATATTCAGCCTGTTTCCCTAGAATTCACTCTCTGCCATTAACAGCGTACTTTTAAACCCTTCTATCTCTGTATCAAAATGTTCTTTATTAGTTACCATGTTTTGGGGGATTTCTTTAGGCCCCAACCTGATAGGTAAGACTGATTCCCACAAAAGATTGTCAAGAACCAGCTTACTAGCACTCAGGCTTGGACTTTCCATGTAGAGTTATTTGTTAAAGCATCAAAGTAAACAGAAGCACAATCATTCACATTCTATATAAATGATATGTGGCCTAAGGCGATGTCCATCAAGGGTTTTTGAACAGTGAAATTTCCACTCTAAGATGGGTGTAAATCACATCATTCTTACAAAGGCAGACATTGAAGGTAGACCAAAGTAGAAATGCAGCTAAATATATTTCCCTTTATAAAATTAAGGGAATAATAAAATTAATAATTAGGCAGGAAAGGAAAAGTATTGTTTTGACAATTAGGCTGCACATAAACTGTTTTGGCTACTGTACGATTTGTGACTGACTGAGCTCATCAGTTAGTCATGAATGTCACTCCAAAAGTCTGTCAGGACTGGGATTTGAACCCACAACTCCAGGTGTGACTGAAAACCTGAACACAGCACTCAGCCATCCTGACCTGATACAGGGCGACCCCTAGCGGCAACAAGCTGAAACTGCAAGGACAGATATACAACAGACAGCATTTTCAAAACAGATATGAGAAGAGAGTAACTAAAGCTCCAGAAATTTGATTTCATTACCTATCTTCAGGGTCCATGTTTTGGAATATTCTACCTGTCTGTCCGGAGCCCCTGAAACAATCTTAAGGTTGCCCTTGATTTTAACCTTCATTGGATAATCTGAAGGTTATGTACTGTACATGTACATGCAAACTCTGGCTTTGCACTGGTACACTTCATTGTAAGGGACATCTTTGGCATATTTTTCACAAGCAGTCTCAGCTCAAGTACTGGACTTTAGTTACCTTTTGCCATAGAATAACGATTGGAAACAGCTGTCAGTGTGATATATTTAATATAATCCCACTGTATATTTTTGTGACATGTTTAGATATTTGTGAATGAACTTACTGCTAATACGATTCAACAAAGCCACATTTAAGAATGATCACAGTTGAGGACCTGAGCACTCACCTGTTTTATCACTGGGAGTGGAGCAACTCTGCCCATTGTCTGTTTCCAGATTAAAATGAACTGGAAATACTCTGCGTTCTTGTACTTAAATAAAACATCAGCATGAGGACCCATCTCCCAAAACATATTAAAATAATGATAATAAAATGACTGTTCTTTGCTGTATTGAAAATCAACCCATTCCTAGGCCAATCAAGGAAGTTCAATATTTATAGCAGCTATAGCTCTAATAGCAGCTCTGAGAACAGCCTGAACTACAATGGACAGACTACCGAGGACTGCAAAGTCATTTGTCAGAAGTGGGATTAGAAGCCACACATTGACCTCTCTGCCGTTTATCAGACAGACACTGGGTGATTTCTAATGGCAACACCTGAAACTGCAACAACAGAACAGGTTTGTATTAGGCCTATATCTTAAAGTAACATTTTTACAACAGGTATGAGGTAATTCAGTTGTATTTATTGATGCCAGCTGCAGTGCACACAAACCAGGGGACACTGGTTTCATTTGTATCTCTAGCTGTCTTGGTAGAGATAAAAAGATCGATCATCAGGACTTTCTACACACCTTTAGCTGGACCAGTGATGACTAAAGCAAATACTATCCAACACAGCTTTAGGGAAACAAAGAAAGTAAGATCAAATAGTTTGCCAGGCCAACTTTATTGACTTAATTCATAATAAGGTCTTATGGAAAAGCTATAAACATCACCTGGCATCACATTAAATACATAAAATGTTCTCTTTAAACTGGATTAGTTCACCTGTTTTCATTCATCTAACTTTCAAAGATACAACACATTACCACACAGAGTAAATAATGTCACACTGGTGAAACTACGCGGCAAAAAAAAAAAAAAATCTCTGTCATCACTCACACAGCAGCCTTTCTGCTGTGCTCCATATCAGCAGTTTTACACTCATCACTATTTGAAATTAGACACAAAAAGGGGTGATTTCAACACAAGAGTCTATTACTTTAGTTAGTGGACACTCCTCTTTAATTGAAAATAAATATCATCTAAGTATCAGTGTTGTCCAACATGACGCAGTTTGATTGCAGACTGCATGCAGACCTGTTCAGCATTACACTGTCTGTCTGTGGGGGTCTCTCAGAGGAAATGTTCCAACCTTTCTTTTTTTATGTTGTAAAGGAGTTACAATTCACCTTCCCTCAACCGGCCTGACCCTGTTCTATTTAAGTTAATGGTTTCCTACATTCCACAGATGGCTTCATGTTCATATGTACCAATATTTCCATACCTGAGAAAACAGTATACGTTTCTAATCTTAAATAAATAGAAAACTATTTGGGAACATTGTATTTTTGTCATTTTTGGTATGGACAAGAAAAATTAAAACACACAATTAGAAAAGTCTTAACTGCACACATCACACATCCTTGAGTAAGCAGATAGAGGTGAGATTAGATTTGTAGTCCACTCAGGCAGGAAGGACGTGGACAGGGAGTCCTCAGGAGTAAAACTTGCTGTTGTTTATCTTCTTTTCTTTTGTCCTGGGGCACAAAGAAACACACCGAAAAATAATTAGGGACATAACACATTTCGTTTGATTTAACCACCTATCCCCCCACCTCCCGTGGGTCTGAGACTAACCTGTGTTTCTCGCTGGTGCTGTACTCCCTCGAGAGGTGGTCGTGTTGGCGAGGGAGGGTGGAGCGCTGGATGTTGCTGTGTGTGTCGTACAGGAAAGGTTCACTACTGACCTCAGCCTGCTTTTTCCTCAGCTGGCTGGAGGACGAGTACAGCTCCTCCTCTACTTTCTGAACGACAAGAGACATGTGATCACAATCAGAGAGTGAGAATCATTCTGACGTCACTCTGCAGAAATAACGCATCATTAATGAGTGTGTGTGTGAGTTTTCACCCCTGCTTGCTGCACGTTGATGTAGACTAGCAGAGAGGCTAATTCTAAGCTCTCACTGTAGCCGTTGTTCAGAGGAACACTGCGGTAGCCTGCCGAAACAGAAAACATTCAGCTCAGTGAGCACACAGTCAACTTTGTTTCTGACAGTTCAATATTAACCAATCAGATCACACCTTTGTTTTTGGTTGTTGTTGTCCATTTACTACTGTTACAATATAATTAACATTACTGCTACAGGGCAGATAAACCTGCTAGGGGGCTCCAGGTCAACAAGGATCTGCAGGCCCCTGATCTCCCTACCAAATATACATCCTGTTGTATTCAAGTACCCATCAGGTACACTTCAGACAACACATGCAGATTCATTATATTTTGCCAGTGCCTCTACGCTGGGATACTATCCTGCTCCAGGTCTGCTGTGTGTCAGTAAATTTTGTGGTACCTTCATTAAACAAAAATTAAATTAAGAGTATGCACCATGTCACCATCATATCACAACAAAGCTATATTAAATGTGATCAATTGTTGCTTTGTTAATCAATGTCGTCTTTCATTATTACCATGTTCTCAGAGCAAAACTACGCTTTGTGAGCGCACATTTCTGAAACCACACCTACACACTTGGTATTAAGATCGGTTAAAATGCAAATTCACTGAAAAGAATCAAATCAGACCATTGTCCTTTCAGTAAACCTGTGGCCCTCATAGCTGCTGGTGTCCATGCACTCGTTTGAGATACTGAATGCAGTTTCTCACAGTGTATGTCTACAAGTTATTACTGTTCTGTGATAATGCAGAGCCGACTTTACAGCAGACTGTGATGGATTAACTATTTCAAGCCTCTACAAGTTGATTTTCTCACTGTAGTGAAACCAGTGGAGGATTTTCAAATCAAATTCAAAACATTATTGCTAATCGCTGGAGGTGATACTATGTATACATTTACACCATGTCAAATGAAGGAGCATTTGACATCAAAGATGTCTCACTGATCATTCATACTACATATGGAATCTGAATTGTCTTAGAAAAGGTAAGCTTGAAGGTAGAACTAAAAAAGTAATAAAGTAAGTAGAGTGTACAGAAATCCTGCTTCTAAAGAAATTACAACATCTATGAGTATTACACTTGCTTGATAATGAGTACTACATGAGCTTCATGTGAGCAGTCGTCCACCAGCTCTGGCCCTCTGTGCTGTGTGTATGTGTTCCCACCTGAGCGGATGCCTTTGACAGGAAACGTGGCCTGAGCCAGGAAGTTGGGGTCTGAGAACATGTCCTCCTCATTAACCACAAAGCGCAGGAAGGTGAGTTCAGGCTCGTACACAGTGAAGATCACAGGCTCTGCTGGG